GTGTGTGAGTGAGTAAGTGAGAGAGTGTGTGTGTGAGTGAGAGAGTGAGTGTGTGTGAAAGTGTGTGTGTGTGTGAGTGAGTGAGTGAGTGAGTGAGTGAGTGAGTGAGTGAGTGAGTGAGTGAGTGAGTGAGTGAGTGAGTGAGTGAGTGTGTGTGAAGGTGTATATATATATATTTATATACACCTTGCTACGTGTACTGCGTTAGGCTAACCGAGACTTGTCATTTGCACTTATATATTGTTGCTCTTTTGTTAGTTTTGACTGCTTTTATTGTCCTCATTTGTAAGTCGCTTTGGATAAAAGCGTCTGCTAAATGACTAAATGTAAATGTAAATGTAAACGCAATAACCCTCTTTCTGTCGGCTCATTGAAGTGCGCATGTGTGAAACGTGACAGGAATGCATTGTTAGTGCAGATTTAAGCGCATCTAGACCGAGAAAACATCTTGCAGTAAAGAAAGAAGGAAATATATCACAAAAGCAGACTTTTTCATGACTCAGAAAATGATAAAAATGTGTTCTCATCTCGTGCAGCAGAAGTAGATGCGTTTATAACTGCATGAGAGGATAATGTATGAGCTGTAAGTTTCCCGACATGTTGCAAGCTTAATTTAACATCACAACTGACAAATGTATGGAATACTCAGAGTCAGATACGCAAATGATTATATTTTGACGTCACTACAGGGAAATAACCTGATTTATTAATGAAGTCATGTAAACGCAGGTTACTTGCGTTGTCAGCTTACTGATGTGCATGTAAACGTGCTCAATGCTAGACAGAGGCACACCTAGGTTGATGGGACACTAGAGGCTTTCGCACCACGTAGTTCTAGGAACTTAGTTCTAGGAACTAGCCAGCAGGGTAGTTCCTAGAGAACCAATTTCTCCCTCGGGCCGTTTTCCTGGTTGCATTCGCACCGGCAGCAGGAACTCTGAAGCGGCCGCCCGCGATGTCTTTTTATAACGGAGATGGAGATGTAAACGCACAATTTACGCGATTGCAAGAGCAAAAAGCTGGACTAAGAGACTAATTTTTTATGACAACTTGCAGTGTTACATATCATCGAAGCTGAGAAAAGTTTTCCATGTTCGTGGAGTAAATATGCCGGTGTTTCGCGTGCGTTTGGCCAATCAGCGTACACTTATGTCACTGATAGTTCCTACAGAACTGTTTTAGACCCTGCTCTAAAGTAGGAGCTAATTTAGTTCCTCCAAACGGAGTTCCTAGAACTAAAACAGTTCGTATTTACTGCTGTGCGAACACGCCAAAAAGTGGGTAGTTCCACAATTAGTTCAGGTACTATGAAAAGGTTCCCGCGCTGCTAGCACCAGCTTTCCTTCTCTTTTATCTTTGAAAAACCAGCAGTTTTAGAAGTACAAATGAGACATACTGTTTTTTCCTCTTCCGAATCCCCAGTAGGCCTTATTAAGTGTTATCAGGTACAGGACCCCAATGAATACAGTGCTGGCTGGGCATATCTCCCCACGCTGATATTGTCTGCCATTCAGACCCCATTTATAGTGATATTATGCCACGGTTTATGGTAACTGAAGGTTTCAGTTTACCTTATAAAATCTTTATGACTCTGTGATGTTTAATTTAAATTATTTTGCTGCACCATGTTCCAGTTTTGAGTAGCAGTGAAAAGTAGTAAAACAAACCACCTTGTGTGATGTATCTCTCAAAGTTGCTGCATTTTAACTAGATATAGACCGATAAATCTGTTTAACCATTTTTTTTAACCTATATTCACAGTTTTTTATTCAATTGATTTAACGGTATTCACATGTACACAATTTTCTTTTTATTATTAGTACAAATATTAAATATTAATTCAAATAATAACCTTTATATAGTCTTAAAAATATGTTTAAAAAATAAAACTATGCGAACATTCAGATACCAAAACATCTTTGCATAAATGTGCCATAAATAACAACAATTACTACAATTAAAGTATAACTTATTTAACAATTTTCTCTTATTGTTTTTAATTAAATACAATATATTATTAAATGCAATTAATAATATATTATTATTTTTATACAAATTATGCTAAATGATTCATATTATTTTAAGAATTTTGTTAATAAAATCAAAATGCATATTGTTTTTGTTGTAGTCTATTGATCATATAGTTGTGACAAAGCTGAAATAAAACAATAATTAAAAATTGTTTTTAGATATAAATATTAAAATAAGCTGTTTCATTAATGGTCATAAGAAGACATTATCAATTAATCTCTAATCAGTGTTATTTTAGAATCATTGATATACTGTTATAGTTTTTGTTCATATTTTGAATCAATTTCTATTTTTAGATTTTCTATTCTCATTTTAATTTTAGTTAAAGTTTAGTAATTTTTTTTGGTCATTTTTAGTAGTCATTGTTTTCTTTTTTAATATATCTATATACAGTAGTTATTTTATTTATTTAAAAAATTTTTTTTTTTTTTTTTAATTTTTTTCAGTTTTTGTTTTTATTTTTTTAGTACATCAAGTTGAACTAAATTAAAATAAGAATAAAAAGTTATATACTTTTTTAAAAGTTAACTTTTTTTTTCTCACCAAGTACAAGTAAAAGTTTTTTTTTTTTTAGTTTCGGTTTTAGTTAACTTTCGGTTTTAGTTAACTATAATAATCCTGTCTCTAATTTTAACAAATTGTAATATGTGATATCCAGTTTAATTCATTTGTTTTAGTTAAGCTCATTATGAATGTGTTTCCACAGACGTTGTTTGGGAGCCCTGAGTCTCAGTCTGTCCAGCTGTGGGTTTCCTACAACCGGCAGCCAATGAGAGCAGCTCAGTTTAACACCCGCCACCCCATCACGGTGAGTGCCGTCAGCTTCGATTAGTTTCAGGAATATATTTTTGTGGTCATGACTTTTACAGCTTCATGTTGTTTACCTGTCTTATGCGATTCCCTGCTCTCCTCTCTCTGCAGGAGTACTACATAGCAGATGCTTCGGAGGACCAGGTGTTCGTATGCGTGAACCACAATAATAACGTTACACACCTGTACATCTCTGACACACAGGGCCTGGCCTTCTCACTGTCCCTAGAGAACGTGTTGTACTTCAGCCCTGATGGCTCCGGAAGCAACACGCTTATCAGGTACAGTTCAATATCACAGTGTATGTGTGTGTGTGTGTGTGTGTGTGTGTGTGTGCGAGAGAGAAACACCTTCCTTCTGCAGAACAGTACATGAACACAGATGGTGTGACCATAAACGGGATTTACCAAGTAGGACATTTGTTTGTTGGTCCTGGAACAACATTCCTATTAAATAATCGTGTCCCTAACCTCATTCATTAATGTTAAATACTTTGCATTGCCTTTCTATTGTCTTTTTATTGGTAGTTTTCTGTCTTTACAAAAGATAAACGGAATATTTACAAATAATTCATAATTACTATTTTCATGTAACATATTTTTGAAAAGACTACCATAAGCTTAAAAGAAAATTAAGAGTTTCATAAAACTACAGAATCGTTTAAAATTTTGGGGTTGGTAATTTTTAAATTTTTTTGGAAGAAGTCTCTCCTACTCACCAAGGCTGCATTTATTTTATCAAAAATATTATATATTATTACAAATTCAATTTTCAATTTTCAATTAAATTTTCAATTTGAATATATTTTAAAATGTAATTTATTTCTGTGATGGTAAAGCTGAATTTTCAGCATCATTACTCCAGTCTTCAGTGTCACATGATCCTTCAGAAAACATTCTAATGTGCTGCTTTAGTGCTCAAGAAACATTTCTTATTATTATCAGTGTAGAAAACAGTTGTGCAGCTTAATGTTTTTGTGGAAACCATAATACAGTTTTTAGGATTCTTCGATGAATAGAAAGTAAAAAAAAACAGCATTTATTTGAATGCTGATTCTATGTAACAAATATGTTTTTTACTGTCACTTTTAATCAATTTAATGCATCCATTAATGCTGATGAAAAGTATTAATTCCTTGAAATAAAAAAAACTTACTGACCCCAAACATTTGAACATTAGTATAAATCTGAAAATGCATAAATAAATAGATAAATACATAATTTCACTGCAGTTTTCAATAAAAACTTTTAACATAATTGCTAAAATTGAAGGCTTCTTTTTTCCAATTTTAAATGAATCCCTAAAATCCAAAGGAAACCATAAGTTGTTACAAATTATTGTTAAAGCCCCAACCCCAAAATTTAGTTATAAATGTTGTCTGAGAGCCAACAACCATACTTAGCCAGAAACATGTCCCACTTCAATAATTCACATTACGCCCCGGTCTTACACAGCTCTTGGTCTCGTCACCTTTACTTGAACTCCTCTTGGTTTAGTGACGGCCCCTCATCAGTGCTCTAAATCCGTTTTTGCTCTACAAGCCTCAACCCATAAGCAGGTTAGTGAGGTTTTGTCTCTATAATGAAAGAACTATGTCTTCGCCCACCGGTCCCTCCGCCCACACTGTCAGTAGAAAAGCAATCTATCATTCCTGCACAGCTTCCCAAGGACATGCTGTTGTTTTACTCTGGATCTCACCCACCGCCAAACCACTGAGCTCAGCACGGCCGCCTGAGAGCAGAGACGCAATTACTGCAGTGCGGAATGCAGATGAGATACGCTTGGCTCGCGTGCCATTGGCATTTTCATAGAGCCCCTCTCTTGGCAGATATGTATGGCATATGGAAACAGATTTGTGTGTTTGTATATTTGAAAGGTACTTTGCCAACGAGCCGTTTGCAGATCTCCACCGGGTCGAGGGGCTGAGGGGTGTGTTTGTGGCCACTCTGATCAATGGATCAGTCACTGAGGACAACATGCGATCAGTCATCACATTTGATAAAGGAGGAACCTGGGAGCTTCTGCAGCCACCTGCGGCTGACAGCCTGGGAGGAACCATAGACTGCCAGGTATTAGGGATGTTGGTCATTTTGGCTACTCGAGTACTAGATAAATCAGCTAAATACTCTGGGGTAAAGTTTTTCTTTTTTTGGTGGCTGTCCCTTTTTTTTTTTTTTTTAGATGTCCTGTTAATTTAATAATAATCCAGCATATTAAAGCATGATCCTTGTGACCCCTATGTTTTGGTCCATTTAGATTAGCTCTCATTCAGCAGTTTTTGTAACACACAAACACATCTAATGTGGACGCTCTTTCTATGCAGAGTTGAGCAAATTTTCTTCCCCTGAAACTCAATATTTGCTTTTCGGCATACATTTCTTATCCCCTTCTAACCATTCAGACCACATGCTACTACCCAAAATGTCGCTATAACAAAATATAATATTCATGATCGATCATTGCTGGCATTTCTGAGTACTACAGATGCATATATATATATATGTTTATATTTTAAAAAAAGCTAGTCGATATAGCCTGTAGTTATTTTAAATTTATGGCCAATAACTGATAAATGTTAGATAAAATGTTATATTATTTTGTCTATACATTATATTATTTTGTCTAAAAAAATACAAATTATTTATTTTTTTATTTTTTATTTTGTCTAATTCGAAACAATTGAATTCAAAATGAATGTTTTAAATTAAAAGTTCTAAATTTTTTAAATTAAAAATCCTAAAAATTATTAAATTAAAATCCTAGTAAAACCCTGTCAACTAAAATCAATTTTAATAATTATAAAAAATGTATATACATATTGTATGTATTATATTTAATTTGAAATGCTACAAATTATTTAAACATCAAAACATAATGTACAGTATGAAGAATGGATATTCATTTTGAGATTTGCTAAAGATTACAATTAAAAGTGTTTATAAATTCTTACTGTTTTTAATGTATTTAAAGTGAGCATTAGATAATGGCAAAGGTGATCTCCATCTTAAAATAGAGGAAATAAGCATAAACAATTAAATACCCAAGATTGAGTCATAGTAATATGTAAAAAAAAAAAAAAATACTTTATCAGTAGATAACTGGTATGATACCGATATATTGTGCTCCTGTCTACCATGAGTGTAGAATCTCCACGTTTTGATTGAGTTGTGTGCATGTGTTCATGAAGCTGTGGTTTTGTGTTTGTGAAAAAGGAGTTAGAGTGCTGAGTTCAGCGATCGTGGGAGGAAGTAGGGTTTTTTTTTCATGCTTCCATTGAACTGTTTGTGCTCTTTATTACCATAGTCACAATCTCTCTCTTTCTCTCTCTCTCGGTCTCTCAGCTGGACAGTGGCTGTTCCCTGCACTTGGCCCAGCGGTGGAGTCAGCTGCTGAATATTCAGCTGCGCAGGATCCCTATTCTGTCTAAAGAGTCTGCACCTGGCCTCATCATGGCAACAGGTGGGCCACATGACCTGCTCTCTGCTCCTCTCATATGTGCGTGAGAGAGGAAATATGAGCACTTTAGCTGCTCGCCTGTGTCTTCCTGTTTATGTTGCTTTGCTTCTGTTAACCGAGTGCATGTAGGCCCCTTCAGAGGACACAGTTCACACTGTAATGATAAGGAGCAAGTGCATGAGCCCGACTTCATGAGTTCACGCATGGCGGAAAACATTGATTTTGCTCTCTTTGTATGGGTTGGAAGACACTTCCTCCCTCTTGTATACCTCTCTCTTTCTCCCAGCCGCAGTCAGGCTTTTAATTAAATGATTATTAGATAATGTGCATGCATGAAGATGAGAGGCGCAGGAGGCTTGTGAAAATGTCTTGCCTCTTCGGCTGCTATCACTCCGGCGCAGATGTGCTAATTATTTGTAGTTCACTCACTGGCTAATTATCACATACAAACACACCCTCGCACTCATCGACTTAGCCAGCCGAGGGCGGCCACACCACCTCAACATTGTTCTTATTGCAAAAAACGTGTTAAGTGCTGCATATCTTTCTTAAGCAGATGAATGTAAATGAAGTTCATTACCACTCAAATTAATTTATAACAAAACCACCTGCAGTGACGCAGCAGTACAACGCATGTCATCAAAAAAATGGAAAATGATGATTCTGATGTCAGGGTGGCAGACAGTATCCTTGTCTGGACTTCTTGTCACAGTGGTGAGACAAAAATCTGCCAGGAACACTTTGTTTCTTGCCCTTTGCTGGGTTTGTTCCTCTTTGTGCTAATTTCCTGCTGTTTTGTCTCTTGTGGTCTGAATCTTGAGTAGGCTGACACATTAGCTTCGACACTGCAAATATGATGTGGTCAGATGCACTTGTGACCATCTCTCATGTGGTTTAAATCATGAAACATAAATACCCCATGTAAAGTTTTTAACGCTGTCCTTTTTTCAGATGGTCACCTGATATCAGTTGTAATTGAGGCCTGTGATGTATGACACCTTTAGCAAATGGCTGCAATATAACAAAGAGTGAAAAATTTAAGGGGGTCTGAATACTTTCCGTACCCACTGTATATATTATTATAATTTTTTGTTTTGTTTTTATGTATTGGCTTTTTTCATGTGAAGCAAAAGATCAGATCTGCTCTTTTTTTGAAGAACATAATGCATGATCATCAGTTCTTTGCAATTTGCTTGGTTTTTGTTTATTTATTTATAATTTTGGGGGGAAATTATATGTTAAATCAGGAGTTGAACCGGTTTCCCTTTACATACTAAATGCGAACTTTACCACTAGACTATCCCATCTTATATAAAGGATTTTTTGGTCATGTATTATTTTACTTAGGCCAAATGCCATTGGTTACGATGCTGCTAGCATTATAATCTTATAAACTTATATTCCCTGACTTTTTGAAAAGTGTAGTAGCATTTGTTGTTCCATGTAATGGATATGCATGTTCTTTAGGCCCTGGCTGGTCCTCATTTCTACACCTGGGGAGATCATGGAGGGATCTTGATGGCTATCGCACAGGGTGGCTCCACAAGAACACTCAAGTCAGTGACCGTTTAAAGATCTAATGTTGCTCTGCTTTTAGTAGAAGCTCTCTGAGTATTATCTGGCTTTGGGACGTTACTGATAGCTGTGTCTTGTCTTTTGCTGGCTCAGGTTCAGTACTAACGAGGGGGAAACCTGGAAAGAGTTACAGTTCTCAGAGCAGGAGGTATATGTGTACCAACTGCTGACTGAACCGGGTGAAAAGAGCACCATCTTCACCATCTTTGGCTCTTACGCGGATCAGAAACACAGCTGGCTCATTGTGCAGGTCAACGCTAGTGATGTGCTTGGTAAGAGAACAATGTGCTTTTAATTGGTGCACCACACCGAGCACCCTAGCAACCACCTTGTAACCACCACCCCTTAGCAACCATCTAGCAAAATCCCTAGCAACCACCTTGAATACTCTAGAAACCACCTGATAACGCACTAGCAAGCACTTAGGACTCCATAGCAGCTTCCTTGAATGCATTCAGAACACTCTAGCCATGTGCGTAGGAACCAGCCCAAAATGCTTAGCAACTGTTTAGCAATATCCTACCTGTACCTGAACTTTTCTAGTTCTGCATCTGATGTTATGTGTGCTTAGGTGTGCCGTGCTCGGAGGGCGACTATAAACACTGGTCTCCTTCTGACGAAATGGGTAATGGCTGTCTGCTCGGCAGAGAGATGGTGTACAAGCGGCGCTCTCCTCACGCCACCTGCTTCAACGGCGAGGACTTCGACAGGCCTGTCACTCTATCCAATTGCTCCTGCACTCGACAGGACTATGAGTGGTATGAGCCAAAACCCACTCTGTCTATGTTTTTCTTATGTTGCCATTTTCTTCACTTGAATACCAATCATTTTCCTCAGCTTTATTGTGTCATCTTTATCTGTTTGCAGTGATTATGGGTTTAAGCTGAGTGAGGATCTGTCTCTTGAGGTGTGCATGCCTGATCCTGAGTTTTCTGGAAACCTTTATGCCCCACCAGTACCCTGTCCGGTGGGCACCACTTACCGCCGCAGCAATGGGTGAGAATGCAGTTATTCATCCTTAAAAAAACATTATTGATGTATACACTACCGTTCACAAGTTTAGAGTCAGTATGTATTGTTTTTATGTTTGTTTTTGTTTTTTTATTTAAATTTTTTTTTTTTTCAGGAAGGATGCATTGAATTTATCAAAAGTGACAGTAAAGACATTTATAATGCTAAAAAAGATTTCTATATCATATTTCAGATGAGCTGTTCCTTTGAACTCTCTATTCATCAAATGATGATTTTTTTTTATCACAGTTCTCAACTGTTTTCAACATTGATAATAATAAGAAATGTTTCTCGAGCATCAAATCAGCATATTAGAATGATTTCTGAAGGATCATGTGACACTGAAGACTGGAACAATGGCTGATGAAAATTCAGCTTTGCCATCAGGAAAAAAATACATTTTAAAATATATTGAAATATATTAAAATATATTGAAATAAATAAAAAATTTAAAAAAATTACTGTTCACTGTGTTTTAATCAAATAAGTGCAATTTTAGATTTAAACTTATGGTTTAAAGTCAAAAACATTAAAAATTTTATCAGCCCCAAACTTTTAAACAGTAGTTTCGTACCGATTAGAAAAAAATATTAATGTGCATTGTTCAGAGGCAAGATGAAAAGAAAATTCCACGTAAACTTTTCTAAAGATAGTCAGTTCCCCTCAGAGATACATTCATATAAACTCCTACTCCAATTGTATCGCGATTTGTTTGGCATCTCAATCGATTTAAATCGTCACATATTTTAATCGATTTTCGACCGGTTTGCGGTTAATCGTTACATCCCTAATAATTATTGTATAATACGATAAATTCCCCCCCCCCCCGTCTATGTAAAGCACTTTGAGTGCCCAGAAAAGCGCTATAGAAATGTAAGGAATTATTATTATAATTATTATTACTGAACCAGACAGAATTTATTTATGCTTTTTTTGGTCACTATCAATAGATTCTGTCACTATCAACATTCTTTAATGTCAAAATAAGATTTTTACCAGTTGGTCAATTTATTTTATGAAAATGATTGAAGCTAAATGATTTACTTAGAAAAACATTTGTCGTTTTGTTATGTAAAATAGGGTGCTGCATACCTATGAAATCAGTTCATTCTTTTAGATTACTTTGTAGAGGTCACTTTGAAAAGTCTTGTTCCCTCTATAAAGCCAAATCATATCTGTTGTGATTCAGTGCTGTAAATCAGCAAAACATGGCCAAGGGGGTGAATACTTATTAAAGGCTCTGTGTCCTCCTGGATACAGATTGTTAGCCGCCACCATCAGCTGCCGCCCGGGAGCATTATTAGATCTGCCAGTGCTGTGTCACCGTGCATCTCTCCTCTCATTATCTGCAGTCGAGAGGAGAGGATTTATTTAGAACATGGACTTGAACCGAATTTAGCTGGATGAGTTTAGATCTCTTGCTCAGTCAGTTGAGAGAAATGAGGTTAATCACAATTATAGTAATGATTCCTGGGAAAATTGGGAAGTAACATTAATTACTATTATTTAGGGATGCTTAGTTTATTATGATCATATCTATTATGAACCTAACATTTTTTTTCTTTTTTCTTAACATGTAGGTCAGTATTGCTTTTTTTTATCAGCTAATGATGGTTATTTAACTGAGGACTTTTGTATTTCACAGTGGAACTTCATTTAAAGGAACACTCCACTATTTTTGAAAATAGGCTCATTTTCCAACTCCCCTAGAGTTAAACAGTTGAGTTTTACCGTTTTCAAATCCATTCAGCCGATCTCCGGGTCTAGCGGTAGCCAGAGTAGTCCCCAGCTAGGTAACTTCCAATAAGCCTATTTTCAGGCGCTGCGTAATATCATTGCGCCTGCTGCACCCATGGTACGGCAGAAAAGTTCCTTGATTATTACACTTCTACAACTCTTTGGTCATTTTTGAGCGAGATGCTAACAGTGCCTATTTCCAGGCACTGCGTAATATCATTGCGCCTGCTGCACCCATGGTACGGCAGCAAAGTTCCTGGATTATTACGCCGGAATGAGAGTATAGTTCCTAGCCATATCGGCCTAGAAAATCGCAACTTTTCATTTTCCAGTCGGTCTTAGTACATGATGTAACAACAGAAGATTCAAGTTTTAAAGTTTAAGTTTTAAATAGGAAAAATATCGAAACTCTTTGGTCATTTTTGAGCGAGATGCTAACGGTCTAATCAGATTCAATGATCTATACTAAACTAAGCTAAAAGTGCTACCGCCAGACCCGGAGATCGGCTGAATGTATTCGAAAACGGTAAAACTCAACTGTTTAACTCTAGGGGAGTTGAAAAATGAGCCTATTTTCAAAAATAGTGGAGTGTTCCTTTAAGACTACTCAAGAAATTTTCTTGCCCTTTAAGAGCACGTTTCAGAAAACTGATATAGATATTTAGTGATTATTTTGCTCACAATAATGCATCAAAACTGCAGATATCAATTTTTTTTTTTTTTTATGTGGCCATTCATTCAGTTTCCTACAGTTCATTTAATGGAAAAAGCATGTAAAACCAACATTCAGAAGCATACAAAACTATTGGTTTTAGTTTTTAGTACCTGCATAAATCCGCTACGTATTGGTTATTGGCCATTATATTTAAAATAATTGTCAGCTAATACTAATATCGGCCAGCAGATCTGCGCATTTCTACTGTCAGTAAATGATGAATGGAATCTGCAGTTTTAGATAAACTTGCGCCAACCGTGGTACTTCTCAAAATATTACGCAAACATCAGGATGAAAGCAAGAAAATTCATAGACGCGCACTTACAGCATCACCTAGTGTCAACTTTTAGAATAAAGTTCTTCAAGAAGAGAAATTTGCTGTGAAGTTTAATAAGTGATTTCCAGTGATGGTAAGGTGTGTCATCTGACACTTTAGGTACAGGAAGGTTTCTGGAGACAGCTGCAGTGGGGGAGACGTTGAAGCTCGGCTGGATGGAGAAATGCTGCCCTGTCCTGTGGGAGGTACAGTAAGATCCTCCTCCTCCGCTTACACAATCATCTTCTCTGAGCTCTTTTTGTGTAACACCTCACAATCCTATGGGAAGCAACATGAAGTTGTGGAGTCAAAGTTCATAACACAGCCTCAAATTTATATATAAAAAAAAAAACTTCACAAAGCAAAGCTTTGAGGTAGGAACATTTTTGTGGAGATATCAGAATTGTAATATAATAATGTTAGTGATTTAAAAAAAAATATATATATTTATTTTCTTTTACATTACATGCAAGTTTGTCTTTTTAAATACACTACTGTTCAAACGTGTCAGTTAGAAAATGAATCTAAAGTGATAGTAAGGACATTTACATGACCAAAAGACAATACATGACCAAAAAAGTCCCTTATATAAGATGGGATAGTTTAGTGGTACAGTTCCTATTTAGTGTGAAATGCAATAGAAGTTAAAATCGTGACGTGAACCAAAAAATAAATTGAGCAAATTGCAACAGAGCTGATTATAATGCATTATGTTCTATGATAAAGAGCAGTTTTGACATTTTGTTTCACATGTAAAAAGTTATAAGAATATGGAGCAAAATAAAGATGGAGAAACAAGTCAAGTATATTTATATTGCACATTTAAAAGCAACAGAAGTTGATGAAAAATATAATAGTGCTGCAAATTGAAAATATAAATAAATTAAATAACAAATACAATTTGTACACTTTTAAAAGAAATTAATACTTTTATTTCGGCAGGGACACATTAGAAGATTTCTATTTCAAATAAATGCATAAAGTCCTTAAACTTTCTATTCATCAAAGAATCCTGAATGAATCACCATTTTCACAACTATATCAAGCAGCACAAATGTTCATATTAGAATTATTTCTGAAGATTCGTGTGACGCTGAAGACTGGAGTGATGATGCTGAAAATTCAACTTTGCCATCATAGCAAAAAATTACATTTGAAAATATATTCGGTAACACTTTATTTTAGGGTCTCTTAACTAGTTGCTTATTAGCATGCATATTACTAGAATATTAGTCATTTATTAGTACTAATTAAGCACATATTAATGCCTTATTCTACATGACCTTATTCTACATCCCTAATCCTACACAATACCTAAACTTAACAACTACCTTACTAACTATTAATAAGCAGCAAATTAGGAATTTATTGAGGGAAAAGCCATATTTAATAGTGAATAAGTGTTCCCTATTCTAAAGTGTTACCATATATTCAAATAGAAACTTTTAGGAAACTTCCATAAAAATGTAAGTTGTAGTAATTTTACTGCATTTTTGATCAAATTAGTACAGCCTTAGTGAGCAGAAGAGACATCTTTCAAAAACATTAAAAAGTCTTACCAACCCCAAACTTTTGAAAAGTAGTGTACATCTAATATGCTGAGGAGTTCTATTTCTATTAATTCATATAATTTTTGTTTGCTTACTGATCATTGCTTTGCTTCGTTTAGTATGTTTGTTATGGTAGATGCATATGTATCTTTTAGTTTAATTGTTTTTTTTTTCTATGTGCAAAAGTCATCTACTCAGAAAAATACTCAGAACACTGAAGCAGGATGAGTATCATTCATCTAACCGTAATATTAAAACTTCTGACCTGAAACTCTATTAAGAACCACAGGCATTGACATTTTAAACTAGGCATAAATCTATCTTTAACTTGTTTTTTTTCCATTGTGAAGTTAAAACATCTTGTTTTTTTACAGGTGGACTTCTTAGAAGTAAATGTTTATGACAGATGCAAGATATAGTTTAGATTAGACCTTTTCACTTTTCTTCTTGACTCTTTGACTTATGGGATCTCATTTTTACTAATAATTTCATAATTCTGTTTAGTTAGAAGCTAGAAACACAATCAGTCCTGTTTTGAACCCAATCAAAGACACATTTGTTATTTAAAAAGGATATGGGTATGCATTTATGGACACAACATGACATAGACAAATCACAGTAATGTCTACAATTGTGTCTGAATGTGTGTCCATAGTATAAACATGAATGTGTAAAATACAGTAATGCCTCAACATGACCATGCTGAGATGACATGATGGACCGATTCACTGACACCTGATGTAGATTTAACTTATACTGAATACAATGATGTGAACAGTCAGTCCTAAAGATGGGATTTGAAAATCAAATGAGGATTGTTGGAGTGTGATCAAAGCCCGTCTCCCCACCGAGCTGTTCTTAAGAGAACTGTCTAGACTGCTTCTTCTCTCTGGCATTGTGGCACTCAGCCACTTGACCGTGCTTCAGTGGCTGCGTTGATAGCCTTGCCTCTCTGTCTAGAGGACGCTGGGAGTAAATAAGCAGCTCTTTCAGAAGCTGAGATCTGATCCAGCAGGAGAAGGAAGTGATGTGACTCAGCGGTGCCATCAGTTTTCTTTTACGATTTGCACTGAAACAGAAAATAGAAAGCCTTCCTAGAAGAGTGCAAGCTGTTAGCAAGGAACAACTCCCTTTTAGTGCCAGTGGCTTTGAAATTAAATGCTCACATGGGAGTGTTCAGGTATAATATGCAGTGTATTTCTCTGGACTGAGTCTTTATTTCACCTCTTAACTTAAGACCTCTCACCTACCTTTTTTTTTGTTTAGAGAGTAATGAGTTTATCCTGTATGCGGTGAGGAGCTCCATCCACCGCTATGACCTGGCCTCAGGTACAGACCAGCCGCTTCCACTCTCGGGTCTCCATGAGGCCGTGGCTCTGGATTTTGATTATGAGAAGAACTGCCTATACTGGGCTGATATTTCACTGGACACCATAGAGGTGAATAAACGTTCTTTCACTCACATAAAACTAGGGATCAGTACCATATATAGAGTGACAAGAAAAAGTATGTGAAACCATTGAAATAATTTTTTGCATTAATTGGACATAAAATGTCATCTGATCTTTATCAAAGTCACAAGTATGGACAAACACAATGTGCTTAAGCTAACAACACACAAACAATTATAATATCTCACATCTTTAATGAACACATCCCCTTAAACATTCACAGTGCTGCAGAAAAAGTAAATTAATTTGATCTTGTTGTCGTTATCTGGATGATTCACAACTTTGTGATGAGTTTCATAGGTTGTTCCTGAGTCCTTTGTTTGTCCTGAGCAGTTAAACTTCCCAGTGTTCTTCAAAAAATCCAAGTCCTACACATGCTTTGGTTTTCTAGAATATTCTGCATATTTGAACCCTTTTTGTTCTTTATTGTATTGGGTAAATTTGTGTATATATAGTTGATGTTCATTAGTTGCCTAAAGCTTCAGAAATTAATGAATTTAAAAAAAATAAATTTTCTTTCTTTTTTTAATCTTTAGTGTTTAGTTTTGTTTAATATTTGTTGTTCTATAAATACTATAGAATTTTAGTATTGGATATTTTAGTCACTGTTCAGAACAAAAATAATCAGCAGCTTTTTGGTATCAAAATTTAAATATCGGTGCATCCCTACATAAAAACTGAAATATTTACACATTTTTTGAATATATTGAGGCCACACTGATAGAAATGTAATACTTTAATTTCCAAATAAAAAAAATATTTAAAAACTTTAAATTTCAAATATGTAAAAAATGAAAGAAAATGTTTATTATTTAATTAGATAATTTTTAAAAATTAATTTAATAAGTATTTTATCTGTTTTTGTGTTGTAGAGACTGTGTTTGAATGGAAGCTCTGGACAGGAAGTGATTGTCAAAAAGGACCTACAAAACGTGGAGGCGCTCTCATTTGACCCCATCAGCAGGTTGCTGTATTGGGTGGATGCTGGTGCTCAGAAAATCGAGGTAATCACAGCTTAAAACAACAACAGCAACATCAATTACAGGTGTTTGTTCCTGTAGTCGTCCTCACATTGTCTCTCTTCCAGGTGTCCAACTCTGATGGAGACCTGAGACGCACTCTGGTCAATTCTTCAGTGGTGGAGCAGCCTCGAGCCCTGACGCTCATGCCAGGAGAGAGGTAGGGTGTTCCCATAAATCACTTGTTCAACCCTCTACGCACACCTTGACAATATAATCGCCATTGGCTAGTAAATTTTTTTATTTACTCGCCAGACTGATATACTATTTTACACACACACACACACACACACACACACACCGCATTAGCTCCGCTCACTGCCGAGAAACCGGCATATCTTCTGCTTGTTCTTAAAAGCTGAATAATTCTAAATGAACTCTGTTATTTTGACAGGAAAATACAACAAAGAATATGGTTTACATGTAGCGCGTCGATTCAGCGTGGTATGCAAGACTCTCGTTCTCTCTCTTTGCATGTGTGAGAAACACAGCGCTATCAGTAAAGCGACGGCGAGTCGTGGGCCTTCACACTAGTTTACGGTACGTCAAATACAGGTGCGCTGCGTGCTACATACTGTGCATCCATTGAGTACATGACATGATCCATTGAGTGCATCCAAATAGTACAGATCGCTTGACGGAGAGCGAAACTCTCAAGCGCTCAGTCGGCGTGTTTATCGAGTGAAAATCTGTGTTGAACGTCTCTCACGCACATACTGGCGAGTAAAATCTAAGAATGTATTAGCCAATGGCTAATGTTAGACATTATTTAGTCGCCCAGAGTAAGATTTAGTCGCATATGCGAGTGATTTACTCGCAATGTAGAGGGTTGTGTTTTCCTCAGCAGTTTGCATTCTCCCTTTACCCTGACCACTAAGTTGCATGTGCTGTCTCTTTTAGCTTGATGTTTTGGACAGACTGGGGCGATCGCGCAGCAGGCATCTACCGCAGCTGGATGGACGGTTCCAACATCTCCTGCATTGTGTCTGAGGCAGTTCGCTGGCCCAACGGCATAACGGCCGATGAATCATGGCTGTACTGGACGGAGGCGTATGGAGACCGCATTGAAAGAGCAGACTTTAATGGAGGCCGCCGTACTGTGATAATGGAGGGCCTGCCTCATCCTTATGCTATTGCTGTTTTTAAGGTAGGCCCAATGTTATCACTTCTGGGAATGTTGCAACTGATATTAAACTGTCTTTAATGATCATAAACACTTTGTTGATGTAGAATGACCTGTACTGGGATGACTGGTTTAGAATGGGAATCTTCAAAGCACCTAAATCAGGCTCACCAGACATTGAGATGCTAGTGGGCAGACTGACAGGAGTGATGGATCTCAAGATTTTCTACAAGGGAAAAAACAGAGGTCAGTCCCTCTGAAATATATGAGAAATACACCTATAAAGACCATGATAGGAATAGTGGTGGCAGGGCTTTTTTATTTTTTTATATATAAATGGCCAGTTGCCTTTGCTTTATGTAACAGTCCCACAAAATCTCACTTGTCAGCTCCTGTTGTTTTTGAACGCAAAATAAATGAATATTTTAAATAATTAAAAAGACTAATTTTATACTAATTTTATAATTTATTTTCATTATTATTATTATTATTATTATTAGTTGTTGTTTCTAAATATATCAATTTACATTATCTTTGTAGTTCTTGCATTTTATTGGACAATAATTTGCAACAGGGTTATTATCATTAACTAAAACTAAAACCCATAAAAAACTGTTTTAATACTTTAAATAAAATAAACACCAACTGAAATAAAATATAACTTAAACTTAATGTTTTTTTTATTGTTGCTAGCTGCCAAGGCATCATAATTTTTATTTAGTTTAATTTGAAGTACTAAAATAATTCAAACTGAATTGAAACTAAAACTATATCCTAAAATAAAATAAAAAATTACAAAATTACCATATTGATTTCATGGGCTCAGCTTTGCACAGTGGCCCCACTGGATTACATGGGATACAGGAATAGTTTTTTTAAAGATTTTTTTTCTCTCCTGTAGGTCAGAATGCTTGTGTGGATCAGCCATGCAGTCTTCTGTGTCTTCCCCAGCCTGGAAACAAGCATCACTGTGTTTGCCCTGATGGAGTTTCCACCACCATCCTACCCTCAGGAGAGCATCAGTGTCAGTGTCCCAGTGGATACCAGCTCCGCAATAATACATGCGTTAAAACAGGTCTGACAGATGCAAAAGTGTCAGATATCAAAAGCTCTAAATGCTGCTTAAACGTTTTTATGAAGTTTAAATGTATTTTTGCTTTTATTGACACTTTCTGCCCATCAGAACACACCTGCCTGCCAAACCAGCACCGCTGCGCTAATGGGAAATGCATCAGCAGCATCTGGAAGTGTGACAGTGACAACGACTGCGGCGACATGAGTGATGAACAGGATTGCCGTGAGTCACGTCACCAGCCCGGTCTCATATAAAATTGCAGAAATGTGTATGTTCTGTGTTTCATATCTTTCTCTCTCTGCAGCCACCACTTCCTGTGACCCTGCGGTCCAGTTCCGTTGCGTGGCCTCAGGTTCCTGCATTCCACTGGCCTTCAAGTGTGACCATGAGGATGACTGTGGTGATAACAGCGACGAGGAGCATTGTGGTATGTGTTTGTGTTTAGAGCTATATGTCAAATATTCACTATATATCTGAGATGATTTTGTGAGTGATATAAAATTAAGCAGTATCACAATATTTGGTTACACTTTATTTGAAGGTGTCCTTGTTACAGTGTAATTATACATTTAAGTACTGAGTAATATTAATTAACTACATGTACTTACTATGTGTTAGGGTTAGGATTAGGGTTTGGCTTAGGGTTACTTGCATGTAATTATGCATAATTATTTGTTATTATAATAGTAAGTACATGTGTAACAAGGACACCTTAAAATAAAGTGTTAGCCAACATTTTAATTAATCTTTCCTAAAGAACAAATTACAGACCAGTTTAAAGATCATGCCCCAAATGCAAATAAAAAGTTGACTTTTGATTTTAATAGTTTCTCTGAATTAGTGTTGTTATTGTTAACTAAAACTGTTAAAAAATATTAATTTCATTCATTTTTGGCCTTGGCAACTAACTGAAATAAAATAAGTTGAAGTTGAAGTGCTAAACTGACTAAAACTGAGATAAAAATAAACCAAAACTGAATTGAAATTATAAAATAAAAAATATATAAAAATAATAATAATAAAAAAAATGTCAAAAGCACATGACAAAATTGCTAAAACTAAAATGAAAATATAAAATATAATTAAAAATATTAATAAATACAACGATAGTATATAAATAATTCTAAAATAGCACTGCTCTGAATTAAACTTAAAAATTGCATTAGGTTTCACTTCGTTTGTATGAATCAGTTAAAAGTGTTCCTTTCAGTGAAACAGTTCAAATCTGATCAAATGATTCATCTCTGAACACTTAAAAATATTCAGGGAAATCTGTGGTGTATGTTCATGGAAGAAATGAGAAGATAGTAATTTTTTTATTAATGTTGTTTATATGTATAAATTATTATATTGCTGTATATAAATACCATTAGTTAATAAATATATATTTTTTGTTCATTTATTGAAAACAGTGTCAAACATGCCTTAATTATTTTTTTACAAGATTTACCTTTTGCATCTGTTTGGCAGCAGAGGGTTTGGTTGATAGGCACTTCCTTGGATTGAAAAAAAATTGCCTTTTTTTAAGCTATATTCTGTTTGTTTTTAGTTGTTCAGTTAAACTAGCATAAATGCAGTGCTCGTATTGTATCTGCTTTCTTTTAGAGTCTCACAAGTGTGGCCCAGGAGAGTTCACCTGTGCAAGAGGTGTGTGTATTCGGGACGCATGGCGCTGCGATGGGGACAACGACTGCAGGGACTGGTCAGACGAGACCAACTGTACTGGTGAGAGAAAAGAGACTCATTTACACACAGGTGCGAGAAATATGCAGTGAAATACATCACATCTACATCCTCAGTGTCTCTCTCTTCCTCGTTCTGTCACATAAAGTGGGTCACCACACGTGCGAGAGCAGTAGTTTCCAGTGTCACACGGGTCACTGCATTCCTCAGCGCTGGGTGTGTGATGGAGATGACGACTGCCAGGATGGCTCCGACGAGGACCCTACCCAGTGTGGTCAGTCTCAAACACTGCCTTACTCACCCTCATGTCATCCTAAACCATTGGATTTTCTTTTTTTCTGTGGAAGACCAAATGCATCAGCATCAGATCCTCTTAATCACGTTGCTCACTCATGCATAATTTTGTGTAACTTTTGGTTTTGTCCTTCAGGTAGAGAAAAGTGCAACGGCTTCTTGTGCTCTAATGGCACCTGTCTGCCCGCTAGTGCTCACTGCAATGGTGTGGAGGACTGTCCAGGAGGCGCTGATGAGCAAAACTGCGGTATTGCTTTCTTACACAAGTATACATAAGTGGAATTGTTGTTTGTTGTGTTACAATTGGAACTCGAGAAATAAAAAGGATCTGTTCTTGCAGGTCCACTCTGTGCACACTATATGGAGTTTGTGTGCAGAAACCGAGCACAGTGTCTGTTCCAGTCTCTGGTGTGTGATGGTACCCGGCACTGCACCGATGGATCTGACGAGGACCCGACGTATGCTGGCTGCTGTGAGTCCCACAAATTTGCTTACTGAAATGTGAAAACATTAAAAAACATTCACAGGAGGATTTAGCCAAAAGGTCGTTATGTGTTTCTGACTAGGACCGTCCAGGTAAATTAAGTGCAATTAATTATATTTATAAATAAAAAATGTATATGTAAGTGTGCACATTTAATTATGCTCCTTTAATGTTAATTCCTTATTTAATTTAATGTTAATTCCTTAATATGTTCCTTAACAAATTATTAAATCTAATGTAAATATATTCAGAAGTTTGGTTATATGATAATTTTAGAAAGAAGTCTCTTATTCTCACCAGTGCTGCATTTATTTGATAAAAAAATATATATATATATATATTGTGAAATATTATAAAACTTTAAAATAATTGTTTTCTATTTTACTGTATTGTAAAATGTCATTTATTTCCGTGATGGCAAAGCTGAATTTTCAGCAGCCATTACTCCAGTGTCACATGATCCTTCAGAAATCAATCTAATAAGTTGATTTGATGCTCAAGAAACATTTCTTATTATTATCAACATTGCAAACAGCTGTGCTGCCTAAAAATTTTGTGAAAACCGTGATAGATTTTTTCCAAGATACTTTAATGAATAGTAAGTTCAAAAGAACAGTATTCATTAGAAATCAAAATCTTTTGTAACATTTGTAACAAATTGTAACAACTTTCATGTTTGATCAATTTAATATTTATTATTTATTTAGTATAAATTAAAACACTTATTTAGTATTTGTTTTCTCTTATTTAGTATTAATTTATTTTAAAAAAAAACCTTACTCATAATAAAGAAATTGAAATAAATTTGATGTATTATTACATTTCTGTGTTTAAAAATAAAGCAAATTATATATTCACCACTTTTTGCAGTCTATTGCTTCTCTTTTTTCTCATATGCTATAGTCGTCTGCTACAATAATGTATTGTATGTATTTCATAGTGTCATAATTTATTCATAATAGCTTCTCTGCAAAAATTGATATGCACTTTTAACTTAATTTAATTAATCGGCATATTGTGTAATTAATTTAATTACATTTTTTAATCATCCTAATTTGACAGTCCTAATTGTGGACCTTGGGTAGAGCACAAGTGCAGTGTTTTGTAATTTGATTAGTTCTCCTGCTCCTCCACAGCAACGAACCCTGAGTTTGAGAAAACATGTGATGGCTACAGCTTCCAGTGTTCCAATGGAATGTGTGTGACCCTGGAGTGGAAGTGTGACGGCATGGACGACTGTGGCGACTACTCTGATGAGGCCAACTGTGGTGAGCAGGAACTTTAACTTCGTTTGTTCTTGTTAGACTGAATTTTGGCTATGCAAGACTACAGACTTCTAGTCAGAGCATTCAATAAATAAGGTCCAGTCCAGTCATACTTGGGACGGCTTTGAGAAAGTGCTGTTTATCTTGTTTTTGTGCTTGTTTGCTAATGAGTTGTGTGCTCTCTGTTTCAGCGTCTCCGACCGATGAGCCAGGCTGCTCGCATTACTTTCAGTATGAGTGTAAGAACGGCCGTTGTGTGCCCGCCTGGTGGAAGTGTGATGGGGAAAATGACTGCGGTGACTGGTCTGATGAATCTCAATGCTCAGGTACACAAATCAACACTGTGTTCTTGGCCAGTCAGCATCTATTATCCTTGTTTGTACTGTAGAGTGCTGACAAAAGATAATGCTCAGTGGATTAATTACAATGAATTCTGTTGTGTCTGTGTTCAGGTGGGGGAGCTCCTCACACACCTGCTCCGGGTCCAGCTACCTGTGCTCCTAATCGTTTCCGCTGTGGTTCTGGCGCGTGTATTGTGAACACCTGGGTCTGCGATGGCTACGCTGATTGTCCTGATGGCAGCGATGAAGTGGGCTGTCCCACAGGTGCTTCCTCTGCTCATTTCCTAGCCAATACTAGGGGTGTCAAACAGATGGCCTGTGAAAGAGATAAAGCAGCCATTTATAAAATTTTGCATCACGAAATATTATATAAAAAAATGTACATTTAAAAAATGTCTATTTATTATATCGGTTTTACATATTCATAATATGTTTTTTTTAGCTGCAAACAATAAACTTTTCTTGCATCAATAAATTAAGCTTAATCAAATTAAATAATTTTTTTAATTATGTGTGACATTCGACATTCATGTTCATGCATGCAAATTCATGCTTTTCAGCTCAGACGGGCTCAGTGTGTGACATGACAGTCCCAGAGCACCACAGTTCATTTTCACAGTTTTCAGACAATACTATTGAGTGTTGTCCCTTAAAGGGCTCATATGATGCTGCTAAAAAGGGGGCGTGTTAGAATGAGACGTTTTAGGTAGGCGTGGCTGACTCTTAACTTTTATAAAGAATATCTCTTTGGATTTGAGACTTTAGTCTTTGCAACTTTACAGATCTTCTTTATGCACCAAGAGCTTGTAACACTCCAAAGAGAAAGGAAAAATTGAAATTGCATCATATGACCCCTTTAATAATGACAACATTAAAAAATAGAATGAAAATATGAATAAATAAGTGAATGTCAATTGTTTCCATACTATTTTTATGTATTTATTTTTATTTTTATTTTACACATTTTATTTTATTTTAAATACATTTAAAAATGTTTATAACCGTGTGTCTTTTTATGCCTTATCATTTTTGTTTATGCTGTTTCTGTCATTCTTTAGTCAAAGGCTCAGTGACTCCAGTGGCAACTCTTCCTCCATCGGGCCGCTGTACTAAAGATCAGTTCCTGTGCCTGAAACCTCCAGTCTGTATTGCTGATTGGAAGCGCTGTGATGGACATCCTCACTGCCAGGATGGGTCTGATGAGGACAACTGTCGTAAGTGCCTATAAGACAGTCATACACAGTAAAAAAATGAAAAGAAAAAAAAAAGATTTAACCACTCTTTATTACCATTTTCATCAAAACTGTCAAGTAAAAGAAACATTATACTGTATATACTTGTGTGTGGCTGGTGTGGCTAATCTTCTTCACATCTTCACATACCTGTAAATGTAAGTTAACAAGCTTTTCTTTTTGAACTTCCTTTTTTTCCAGCCACTCATGGTCCGTTGCTCTGTGTGAATGGTACTCTCTGTGCGGACGGCGAGGCCTGTGTGCTGAACAGCGAGAGGTGTGATGGCTTCATAGACTGTTCTGACCGAAGTGACGAGGACAACTGCACTGGTGAGACACTGAGAGATGTTTGTGGTGTATCTGCTGTTGAAATCTGACTGCAGCAAGTACAGTATTATACCACAGTAAGCCGGCAGTCTAACTTTTCTTAGTGATTCACCCTGTTTTTCCTTTTCTCAGTGGATTTGCTGGTCTACAAGATTCAAAATCTACAGTGGAGCGCCAACTTTTCTGGTGCTGTGACGCTTACCTGGTCAAGGCCCAAAAATATGCCTGCATCCACCTGCTCTTTTGTCATCTACTTCAGGTATTCATTCAGGCTTCACATTTATCTACACTTGTGTTTTCTAAGCTTTTTCAGGTGGTGGACCACTTGAACTGTGACAAAAAAAAAATCACAGACCACTTAACTTTTATTATTTTTTGTTTTGATTTGTTTTGGTTTAATTTTTTTTTTTTTTTAAGCTTTCTCAGGTGGTAGACCACTTTAAATAATAATAAAAAAATTCATAGACCACTTAAACTTTATTCATATTACATTATATTATATTATATTATATTATATTAATTATATTATATTATATTATATTATATTATATTATATTATATTAATGCATGTATGTGATGGACCACTTCAACTTTGTACCAAAAATCACAGACCACTTAACCTTTATTATTATTATCTTTTGTTTTGTTTTTGTTGTGTTTTATTTGTTTTTTTTTAAGCTTTTTTTTTTACTTTGAATAAAAAAAAAATCACAGACCGATTAACCATTTTTTTTGTTTGTTTTTTATTTATTTAGTTGTTCTTTTATTTAATTTTGTTTAATTTTTCATTTTTATAGTTTTTTTATTTTATAAAAGAAAAATAGAATAGGACATAAAATAAAAAATATATGTAAAATAAAAATAAATAGGACATAGGAGGGCTGACAGCTGACAGCAAAACATTTAATTTGTTTTATAATTAATCTGCCATACTAGATATATACTGTGTATAAGTAACCCATGATCTACACACAACAGTAAATGTCTCGGGTACACACGAGTCTGTAACGTAAAGCTGTATGGATTTTCCAGGCAGGTGGGTGTCCAGCAGTGGACGTCCATGGACACAAACAGCAATAAGGGCATTGCCGTTCTGACCGTGTTGATGCCGGACACCACCTACCAGGTAAAGGTTCAGACTCAGTGTCTCAGCAAACAGCACAGGACCAATGAAGTTCTCACACTACGCACACCAGAAGGATGTAAGTCTGTCTTGGCAGCACAGTCACTAAAATGATTTATGGAACAACTCAGATTTACATGGAAGAGATATGCTGACGACTGTGTTTGTGTGGCAGTACCGGACCCTCCGCAGAATCTGCAGCTGAGCTCTGACAACGCTGAAGACGGGACAGTACTGTGTTCCTGGAACCCTCCTGATAAAGCACATGGACTCATCAGGGAGTATATTGTGAGTGAGAAGCCTTCAGTACTTCATAGCATTTATCAACACGTACTTATATCTAACCAGTTCGTGTGTGTGTGTTGTGCAGGTGGAGTACAGTGAAAAGGACAGCGCGGAGTGGTTTTCCCAGCGTAGCACCAGCACTAATGCAGAAGTGAAGAACCTGCAGCCCAGCTCGCTCTACAGATTCAGGGTGAGACACTCTAAAAACCTGCATGAAGTTGCTTCACATACGCTTCTAGGGATCATAGCTTCATCTAACCTTTCTTCATCTGTTATTTGTCAGGTGGCTGCTGTCACAAGCAGAGGCGTGGGAAACTGGACAGAAATTAAATCCATTATTCCTCAAAAAGGTATCAAAATTATTTAAAAGCAAATGACATATTCACAGAGGAGCGCTAACTCCCCCTGCTGGACATTTACGCTCAAGTATTTTATCTTACAGGATGTTTGAAACCTATTGAGTGTGGTTTAAACTTCCTTTTCAGCATAAATATAAACAGATCAATTTGTATCTGTAATATCACTGGAAAAGTAATGTGGTATCATGAATAATTATGAGGCAGGGCCTTCTCATAGTATAAGGCCATTCAGTCTTATAAATAGACATTAAAAATAATGGATAGTAACATTCAATTAAAAAAAAGGATTTTAACATGTGATATGAAACATGTGTATACACTACCATTCAGTTTGGGGTTGGTAAGATTTTTTTTTCTTGCTGCTGAAGAAACATTTCTTATTATCAGTGTTGAAAACAGTTTGCTTAAAGGTGCTGTATGTAAGTTTTTGACTCTACTAAAGCATAAAAATGCCATAATATGTTTGCAAATATTTAAGAAACATGCTAATTAGCAATTCATTTAATTTTATATTTGAACAGATTTGTTACGTGACAGCATTAATTAAAATTTCTTAAGGGTCAAGATCATGTTATCTGCATCAATCTAATCCTGTTTACATTAAATAAGCCTGCTCCCGAGCAGGTTTAAGTTTATGGACCTGTTGCTATGACAGCAACTCCAGGATGAGCTTCGAAGAACCAAACAATCCAAGATCATGCCAAATCATCAACAATCAAATCCAGCTAACTGAGTTAGCGACGTACGAAGAACGGGCCCCGGAATGTCGGTCTCTGTTTTGGTTTGTGAAACCCGCCCACTGCCAGTTTACCCAATTGTATTTCGGCACCCAGGGTTGCCAGTTGGCGGGAAACAGAGCATATATCATTTCATTCATCATCAAGTGCGCTGGTTCCTGTTGGTGTCGTCAGTCTGGCAACCTGCGTGTACCTGGTGAAAAAAACCCTCTCCAATATTTTGAATTTGGACTGCAATACCTAGTTCAACCACTCTGTGTCAATCCTACATACAGCACCTTTAATGTTTTTATGGCAACCATGATACATTTTTCAGAATTGTTTGATGAATAGACAGTTCAAACACAGAGCAGTTATTTGAAATAGAAACCAAATACTTTTATTGCTGAATATATTAAAATCTTTAAAATCTTTTCAGTAATCTTTTCAAGAGTAGTCTGGTAACTATTTATTATGATACAGATGTTTTGCTGGAAGTTTTACCCTCAAATGTTTTATAGATTACATAAACAAACTTTGGACAACAAACTGCTCTAGTGTCTCATGACTCTTTAATAATGTGTCTTCCAGCTCTCTCTCCTCCTGCTGTTGAGATCACCAGCATCACAGAAGACTCCATGATTTTGTCCATCACCAGTGATTATAAAGTCCAGGTCAGTCAGTTTGCTTTTTTCCTGTGTGTGGGTTACGTTTATGACCTCCTAATTTAAATATAATACTGATCTCTCTCTGTCAGGTGAAGCACTATGTAGTTATCATTTCGTGGGTATTTGATGAACATGTGAAGGAGAGCTGGAATTACACGGTTTCTGGTACATTGAAAGGTAAAACACTTCACAGTCATCAAACATCCCGTCAGCATTTTGTGGAGCGATATAAAATACGTGTGATGTTTTCTGTTCAGCCTCTAACCTGACAGCAGGGACGGTGTATGAGGTGGCGGTGTGGGCTCACACAGATGATGGAGACAGTCCTACTGCTCTGTTCCGCAAGCAGACCAAAGGCACCAGACCTGCCCAGCCATCACTGAAGGCCCGGGCGCTCAACCAGACCGCTGTAGAGTGCAACTGGACCGGCCCTCAAGCTGAGGTGAGACTAAAGGCCCATTCAAACAAAGGACTATAATAATAAAGATATAGTTTTAAATGTAAAAGAATAGCAGAGTCCATATCACAACTATAACAACAATGACAGAGGAACGATATCGTTGGAATCACTTTGCTTGAGCATTTAAATCTGCAGACGACATTACTGCAGCCTGCGCTTATAATACAGAATGTTATTGTGTGTTGGTGTGATTGCTAATAAAGTTATCATTATAGTTATCTTTATTGTTCTTGTTATTGTTCCTGAACAGGCTTTAACTCATAAATGCCTAAAGTGCGATCATGTTTATCATTGCTTGGCAAAATTTCACAGGCGAGTAATTTCAGTAGCAATTCACGTGTGACAGCAATAAAAAATTTCCCCATGCAAATTTCGCTTGTGTTTAAGTTGGTCACAAGAAAAGTGAGGCTATTAAGTTGCTCACTTTTAGAAATAAACTAGCCTTTTACAAAAATTTGCTTTGAATTCATACAAACTTTGCGCTTGTGTATTTACAAGTGTGAAAGTAAAAGAAAATGAATACTATAAGATGAGATCAAGTAAAGCATTTATTTTTATAAGCTAAAGGTGCAGTCACATGTACCATTGTTCGACAAAATTTTGCTGGTGAAATCCAGTAATTTCAATAGGAATCCATGCGTTTGGGAATTTTTTGGGAGGGCGAAATATTACTCTATGCAGATTTCGCATCGGGTTTAATCACGCAAATTTGCAGTGTTGACCAAGCGAAAGCATCTTGATTTGAAGGTGACGACTGTGTTTGTTGTGCTTCATACATCATTACATAATTGAAACTATACAATGGACCCACAACATTTTGCTGAAATTTACCTGACCTTTAAGTTGAAAAGTGTCTGGCAAGACGTCATTGTAACATGGCTATGTTGTCGTAGATGTATGGAGTGTTCTACGCCACATCCTTCCTGGATCTGTACCGCAGACCTCACAGGGTGAACACCACCTCCACCAGTCTGATTGTGATCATTGACAGCGACAAGCAGTACCTCTTCCTGGTTAGTGTCCACCCTCCTACTCTTCACTTTAGAGATACGCTTTGGCACCATGATGAAGCGATTATGTTTGTTTTTCAGGTGAGGGTGATTACTCCATACCTCGGGCCTCCATCGGACTACGCCGCAGTGAAGATGATCCCCAACGAGCGACTTCCACCTCGAAATCTGCACAAGGTGCAAGTGGATAAGACACAGGCCACTCTGAAGTGGCAGCCGCCATACGATTCTCCCAGCAGTCCTTTGGTATGACCACATAGTAAAGTCCATTTTTTATTATAAAACCATTACTTATATGTCAGATGGGGTGTTTCAAGCATCTCTGTGTGTGTATATATCAGACATATGCAGTGCACGTGAGAGATACAGTTCGTAAAACGGAGCAGGACTATAAGGTGACAACTCAAAACAACACAGTGGAGTACACGCTGAAGGGCCTGGAGCCTGGAGGACGCTACAGCATCACCATCAGGCTGCTCAACATGAGCAAAGAGGCCAGCTACACACTCAACACAGGTACAGCCGTCTCTTTTCTTGCCTGAAACGTATTATAAATAAGGTATAATACTAAATATGTTAATATTAGTTTTACTGTAATTAAACCTTATTACGTAATTTAGGGCATGAGGGCCATCATACATTGTGGTACGCAGTGAAGTACCTGATATAGCGCAGCCTTGGCGCTTTATTACTTTTATAACAATTTCTACATTCTAAAAATATTAAAGGGGTCATATGATGCTGCTAAAAAGAACATTATTTGTGTATTTGGTGTAAGAAAGGAAAAATTGAAATCGCATCATATGACCCCTTTAAGGCCACAGATTTTCATTAAAACTGTATTTTAAGCAAATCTTTCCATCCTCTTCCATCTTTGCCTGTTCTACACTACGGCTCAGAAGTTTATTTAATGTTTTATCATGTCACACCTCTGTTCATCAATTTGCACTGGCTACCAGTAGCTGCTCGCATTAAATTCAAGGCATTAATGTT